TTTGGTACATATGGAAGCGTTGCATTCAAAAACATTTTGGAACCGGCAAATCGAGTCAGCTACCGAGCGGTGAGTGGTGGGTAGACTAATCGTGCGGACCGACAACGGGTGACGATCTAAACAAGTAGCGAGACCAGACCAGACCATGCACAGACCCTCGTGCGTGAAATTACAAGCCTGCTGGCTTAGAGAGATGTTCGCTTGTGCAGGTCGAGCGTCGTCACGAGGCCTTCGTCCGGGACCCCCGGGTCAAACGCAGCATCGCACAACCACGATCTTCAAGTTATTGAAGTCAGCTCTCATCATATATACTCGCATGTGTGGCCCTCTACTGCTTAGTATGCCGCATACTTCAACCTGCTTTCGAGCGTCGTTATTGCCGTTGGAGTTGGTGCATAGTTCAGTCCAGAAGGGCAATCGGGGTCTTGGCCTTTCAAGCGCCTCCCGTCACGTGAAACAGGACCCCGACTAACCAGACGCCACGACGCCAGGGCAAAAAATCTTCGTCTGCTTCCGACTTACCCTCAGAATTCCAGCCGCGTCTCTCTGACTCCCTCCTCCTCTATACATCTTTGCCATGGCACAACACTCGGGCACTGCGTTTTCTCTGATATTCGCAGCACAGGGAACTCTGCTAACTCAGCAGTAGACTGCTCGCTCAAGTTTGTCCGTCCGGAGGTGCGCAACGAAAACTCGATAGAAAGGGGCTAACTACTTTGCAAATTCTACGACCAATTCAAGACCATCTCTCTGTGTTATATTAAGAAGGAAACCGTGCGCTACTACAACATGATGAAGCCAAGCTGCATCCTGAAGTTCTGCGTTGTCACCGGCTGGGGCGCGACGATTGGAGGCAGCGCGATGTTGTACGGTAGTTCAGGGAGAGCGGCGACTACTTGGTTGATTGGCGGGAGGTATACAGAAGTGGGCGGAGGCGGTATGGCGACGAAGGCATCTTGAGCGGGCTGCGCGGCCGGTGCGACGACCGCGGGCATCGGCGCAACGACCAGCTCGGCTAGCGTAGGGGCAGGTGGGGCAGCAACCGCGACGGGCGCAGCTGTCGGCACGTTGACAACATGGACTCGGTCACGGTTCTCCACATGGTGAGACAGGTGGCAGAAGGACGGGCGGACTGGGCTGTGCCTGCCGCGCTTAGGCCTGCGACTCTTCTGGTCACGCTCGTCGTCGTCGTCATCGTGCTCGTTCGCAGCGTGCCCCTTCCTGGATTCTTCCTCGACTTCCAGTGCTCTCTTCTTTCCCCTCTGGTTCTCAGTCACAGGTGCGTCCCGGTAGCCGCTTATGGCGAGTGGGGCTGAGACGTGGTCGGCGCGGCCCGAAGGCTTGTTGTATTGGAGGTGGTTGTTGCGAAACAAGGTGGTGCCTTGTTCGGCTGTATTCAGTGCTTGTCGGTTCGACGCGAACTGGCCAGCGGTGGATACCGCTGTACGAGTCCCTTGTCGAACATTATCGTCTCTGGGTGCTTGTTCGCTATATTCGGCAACATGCGACGGCTGTTCAAGACTTGAGCGAGCTGGAGCTACGCAGGGAGCGTCAGTATTTATCCAAATCGAGCAGCAGATAAGCAGGACTCACCTCGGCTCTGCAGGAAAGCTGGCGGAGGACTCACGGCGCGATATTCGCGATGCTCGAGCGGCGGCGAGACACGTCGGTGAACAGGCGGAAGTTGACCTTGCGCGTCGTCGCTGTCATCGTCGCCGCCGTAGCCACTCTCCTCGTCGCCGGACTCGCCATCTTCCTCAACGTCGGACTCGGTGGCGTAGCCATCGTGGTCGCTCGCGGCGCCGAACAGCTCGACATCCAGTCGGTCCCGTCTCGCTTCTCTCTCAGCGAGCAGGTCGCTCATGGCGACGAGCTTCCGCTGCGCGACGCCACGGAGGTCGGGGGGAGCGTCGGATGCGAGAGCGGTGGTTACTTTGAGCCAGCGGTGGAGCCACGCGATTTCTGTATTCAGGGTGTGTATTTCCGCTAGTCTGGACGTTGTGGCCGGCGAGGCGGAGGATGTGGCGCGGGTATTGTCCAAGAGCATCGTGGGCTGGTGTGCGATGCGGTTGGTTGTACGCGATGCGTCGATGTTGTAAGCGCGAAAAGGTACTGTTTGGGAGTTGTATCTACTTGTACGTGATTATTGTGCGAGTGGCGAAGGCGTAGGTGGTGGGACAGACAAGCGGTGTGGCCTTATTGTTGGTTTCAGAGACGCGTTGTAAAAGTGACTGGGTAGCTTGAGCGATACGACGCGGTTTTCAAAATGTGAAGGCGAGGTTTGAAGGCAATATCGACAGTGCGAAATGGGATGGAGGATGTGGTTTGGAACGAAGGAGGACAAGGCAGGCGCTGGAATTTATATCATCCGTGGGCGTCACCTGCGTCGATACGGCTCCGAAGTTTGCTTGCACTTCTCGCGAGTGGCGAAGATTTTTTGTACGGCACACCGCTGCGGGGAGTGGCTCACTTTATTCCCTTTGTTTCTTGAGTTTGAGGTGAGAGTCCCTGATGCGCATGAGCGTTGAATGTTCAATGGACGGATCACGAACTGTCCCAGGAAGTGCCCATCCTACGTCTCGGCCCTCGCTGAAACCCACTCAGGCTGCATGTGATAACGATTTCGCACAAGATTGTTCTATTCACGACTTCTTGATGCAGCTGATAGCATGATCTATTCGAGAGCGCCACTAAAAAATCGGTCGACCTCACTGAACTTTTCTGCCGCCTCATGATCCGACTTTAGCGTGTCTTGCACGACGAGTACTCACCAGCCTTTCGTCCTCGTGACTATTTAACCAAAATCGCACGGGCAAAAATGTTCGAAGAGAGATTGGAACAGCGCCCCATGAAGGAGATCGCATCAAGCAAGTTGAAGCAACGTCCGGACGACCGTGCTAAATACAACTGCAACGGCCACGAGAGCGATAACAGCCATAAGGAGGGTCAAAACCCATAATTTTCATCCTGTGATACACCCGCAGCTGAGCCCGGCGCGATTCGTCCGCTGCCTCCGAAAACATGCAGTCGCGCCAAGATGGATCTACGTCCTGGTGGCGTCATCAGCGTAAGGAGTAGCTCTGACTGTGTTGCGATGAAATGGAGTGCCACCAGACATGAGTCAGACATGCGTGCTTAGAGCAGCGAATGAGATGTCGAGAACTGGGAGGCTCAGAATGCCGAGGAGGTTGAAACCTCTGCTGCGATATGAAAGAACCGCCGGAGCTGTCTATGTTTCGGGGGAGATAATTACAATAAAATGCGAGCTGGTTAATGCGCAGACTTCGGCGGCGCGCACGATTGCAAGCTTGCTGATCAAGATAGCGTCCAGACGAGGCTGTCGCGATCCGGGGTCTAGGCCCCAGGTGATCACGTGATCTTAGGACCCCGATTGACCAGAAACGCCACGACGTTACTGCTCGCTTCTTCGTCCAAAACTCTCTCTGATTCTTTCCTTCCCACGACGGAGTGCTCGGCTACAGCATCCCCCTTACGACGACACTCACAATGAGAGGAGTTTGTGTTATCTTATCTGTAGACACTGACCGTCAGCTTGAGTCGAGCTCAAGGCTGCTTGCCCAGAGGTGCGCGACAAAGAACTACAGACGAGGGCTAACTACTTTTGCGCGTTCGACGACAAGCTCAAGGCATATACCTGCGCTACATTTGGAAGATGACTATGCGCTGCTACAACACCACGAAGCCAAGCTTCATCTTGGGGTTCAGCATTGTCATTGGCCGGCCTGCGACAATGCGGAGCAGTGCGGTGTGGTACGGCTTCTCAGGGCGGTCTATATTACAAACCTCACACGATTAGGCTACTAGCTCAAATTTGTACGAGACCTGTGCTGAGGGGTTAGAGCCGACATCGCGGCCATCACATATGTGGCCAGTCGCCCATACTGTCA